CTCGCTGCCCAGGTGGGTCTCGAACCTGCGGGCTCAGGCAATCCACTCACCTCAGTCTCCTAAAGACGTGGGATTACAGGCTGAGCCACCGAGCCCGGCTTGTGTATCTTTTTCTTTTCAGCTGTAGGCACCCTCTGACGTAGATCATAAAATTTAATGGTGGTTCCATAGATGGATAGATAGCATAAAAAATTCAAAGTAATCAAGATAAATATCAGCCGGGCTCGGTGTCTCAGCCTGTAATTCCATGCTTTGGGAGGCTGAGGTGAGTACACTGCCTGATCCTGTGGGTTTGAGACCTGCCTGGGCAACCTGGTGAGACCTCATCTCTACAATAAATCAAAAACTTAGCCAGGTGTGGTATCGTGTGCCTGTACTTCAAGATACTTGGAAGGCTGAGGCAGAAGGATCACGGGAGCGCAGCAGGTCAAGGCTGTGGTAGCCAGGTGTGGCCACTGCACTCCAGTCTGGGCGACAGAGTGAGGCTCCTACTCAAAAAAAAAATAAAGGTAAGTATCTACAATTATGATTTTTTTTATTTTAAAGATATGGGGCACAATTCAGGGTTAAGTATACAAATGTTCATTATGCCAGGACCCTTGTTGATGAGGTGCCTGGCTTCTTTGGCAGAATCACACTACTGCCCATCCCACCTCCCCCTGGCAATTTCCCACCACTGACAATCTTTATCTCATAGTATTAGCACAATTGCTCAAGGTCCACTCTTGAGTGACAACATGTGATACTCAGTTCTTTGGTTCTGTGATAGATCACTCAGTATTATAAACTCTAAGTCCATCCAAGTTGCTGTGAAGTTCAAAATTTTGTCCTTTATACAGCTGTGTAATATTTGATCATGTATATGTACAACATTTTTATCCAGTCATCTTTCAATGAGCATCACAATTGGTTCTATGTTTTTGCTATTGTGAACAACGCTGCAAGAAGCATGCATGTGCAGGTATCTTTGTCAGAGTGACTTGAGTTCCTTCGGGTATATTCCCAGTAGGGGGAATGTGGGGTCATGTGGAAGGGCAACTTTCAGACCTTTCAGGAATCATCAAACTGTTTTCCACAGAGGTTGTACTAGTTTACACTCCTAACAACTGTGTTGAAGTGCTCCATTTTCCCCTCATCTTGTCCAGCATCTGTTGTTTTCTCAGCTACTGATGATGGCCATCCTGACTTGAGTTAGGTGGTATCTCAATATGGGTTTTTTTTTTTTTTTTGAGTTGGAGTGTCACTCTGTCACTCAGACTGGAATGCAGTGGCACGCTCCCGGCCACCATAGCCTCGACCTGCTGGGCCCCGGTGATCCTTCCGCCTCAGTCTTCCAAGCAACTGGAACTACAGGCACGCGCTGCCACACCTGGCTAATTTTTGATTTATTGTAGAGATGAGGTCTTGCCAAGTTGCCCAGGCAGGTCATGAACCCGCGGGCTCAGGCAATCCACTCACCTCGGCCTCCCAAAGGCATGGGATTACAGGCTGAGCCACTGAGCCATCTCGATGTTGTTTTAATTTGTATTTCTGTGCTGACTAGGGAGGCAGAATTTTTACAGTGATGATTTTTTTTTTTTTTTAAATGGAGTTTCACTTCATCACCCAGGCTGGAGTGCAGGGGCATGCTCATGGCCACCCAAGCATCGACCTGCTGGGTTCCAGTGATCCTTCCACTTCAGCCTTCCAATTAGCCAGAAATACAGGTGCATGCTACCATGCTCAGCTAATTTTTGATTTACCGTTGAGATGAGGTCTCACCAACTTGCCCAGGCTTGTCTCAAACCTGCTGGCTCAGGCAGTTCACTCACCTCAGACTCCCAAAATGCTGGAATGACAGGCTGAGGCACTGAACTTGGCTAAAACTGATTCTTAATAATTTCCCTAGATTCCCCTGTCTTTATGATTTCTAGTAGAAATTCACCCATGGATGAAGAGATGTGGTTCTGTATAATAATGTTTAATAATGTTGTTTTAGTGATTTCC